ACGGTCATTCAAGTCTTATAAAAATGTTAATATACAATCACCATCACGTATAGGATTTAACATGGTTACTTTGACGAAAATACAGACTTACTTTGAAAACTTTTAAATATTTTGTCTTTAGCCATATAAAACGTGTTGCATTATCCAGCAAAAATTGAAACAGACAACGTCTAACTTCTAATGATACACAAGATCGAAAGCACTCGGGTTATAAAGTTTTTATCATTTTGTATCAAGACTTCTTGAACCTACGTGTTTTCTGACATCATGAATACTGTTACGACAGCGGAAGTCACGTGATGCTTCTGGCGCTGGTTTCGTGCGTGATGAGTTTCTCGAATTATCGGGGAAGTCCTAGATGCCCTCTTCGTTAGTATATAAACCTGGCAGAGAAAGCCAGCAGGGTTAATGAAGAGCAGTAGTTATTTTGAGTTATGTGTAATTTATGATTCTATTAGTTTCGAGCTAGTGAGCCGTAAAGTGTGTTTTGCACTCGTAGAGAGCGAAATTATCGAAATTGTGAATTACTGTGATTTATAGCGTGTATTATAAAAGTTGTTAACTTTAAAGTGACGAGAAACCCACTGATTGTGGAACTTCTGTGTACTAAAAGTTTGTATAGAGGAAGAATAAACTGGTTTGATAAAGAAAAGACTTGTATCGTTGAAGATCCTCGGTTAGAATTTCTACCGGAAACAAACAAACAAGCAGATACGTAACAATACAATATTCCATTTAAAGGCTAATACCACAGTTACGTCAACGTTACCTCATCACATGGGGCAGCAGCTACGAAAAGCAGATAATCTATTCAGATAACAACCATATGATACAATGGACCTTTAAAGAATACTCAGATAACTGTTATCATAATGTCACAATGTAAACATTTCACATGACCTTGAACACAATGCATAGGTTCGTAAAGCGTTCGACTAGCAACTAAAAGACTGGAAACTGTAAAATTCATAGATTAAGCTTACGTCAGTAGAAATTTAATTAAATACGCTAAATGCAAGTAACTAGAAAATAATAATACCAATTTATTTAATCCTTTTAAACTTACATAATTTTCTTTATGAATACAATGTGTTTCTTTTCGTAATTAACAACATAAAGGAATTATTAAAAATATCTGAAATTGGCTAGTCAAATAATTTTCAGCAGCCTTGTTGTACACGATTGTGGCAATATTTAGTCTTTTTTTCTTTAACGTTGTGGCTGCTTATAAGAACGATTTCCATTGAACAGCTATATGAAAGTGTTGAATGCCTACAAATGATAAGTCAATTTGTATAAGTAACAAAGAGCAGAGAATGGATGTTCAGGAAAAGGAACATATTTTTTTCTGAAACTAACAGTGACACAAAACTGTTGAAGGTTAAGAATATATAAATTCTGCTCTAATATACCTTTTATATTTAAAAAAGTCATAAACCTATAACCATCTGCCTTCTATGCTTGGTAATGATATTCTTTTACACCTTTACTCAATCACTGTATAAAATCCACACAATTACATTTATAAGAAACACAAAAATTGCCAGCAACAAGTAAGTTAAAGCACATGCTATTATTTCTTTTGGGCATCTTTTCATGTCTTCACATACAACTAACCACTATACGATTCAGAGTTTGGGTGTTATAATAAAAATTGCAGGACAAAATTATAATTTTTTTTATGGTACCATCATCAAAATGACCAGATTCTAGTTACCATTGTTGATATACTGTTATTATTTTGAAATCCTGTTAAAATGAACAAATGTTTGTAGTAAGAGCAACTTCTCATTGTTGTTGCTAGGTGAAAATAAGTTTCACAAGTTAGTTAAGCATATTTATTTGAAGATATCTCACTTCTAATTAAGGCAAAAAAACAAACAAACTAAAAAAGGGTGATTCTGTTATATATCACAGTTTTGTTTTTTAGAGGATCCAGATTGTGCATTATAAACCAGCTCTTACTAATATAACTCATGTTTGTTTGTTTTTAAAAAGTACAAATCAGAAAAAGTAAATTCTGGTAGTAACAAAATTATTCAAACGATGTGCAATGAGGTTGTACATACTTTTGTTTGGTAATAATAACAAAATTACACTAATATTAAGCCAACTGCATATTCAAACAGTAGAGTTTATGAAACTTTTTCTTGCTTTAAGATTTTTAGTTTGGCTAGAAAGAAGTCCATACGTATTAGACATGTTCCAACGGCAGGCTCTCCAGTTAATAATTTTTTATTTTGAGCTTTAAAAAAAGGCCAATATGGACACTAGTATCTATTCCATTGCTTTGAGTGTGTTGATCAATCCTTAGCTTTCTCTCAACATCCTGCTGCCAATCTTTATTGTGTTTAACTTAATGCCATCTGCTGGAACCACTCAATACCCTTGATGCTTTCCATTGAACACATCTCATCTACATCTTTATTTTTGGCCTAATTTACCCATAAAATGACTGATACCAGTCTCTCTGGTATTACTGCTTCACCAAGTGCTGATATAATGGGTGAAATATGTTTATGATTGCTTTGGAGGACTGTTTAGCTTACTAAAATCCTTTGTCTTGCAGTAACGTTAATCAAGCCAAAAGTGTAGGATTATCACAGAGTGTGTATTTGGCCACTCCTGTTGTTATTCTCATGGTTGCATTTTACATCCACTGTAACTTGATCACTGCTAACTTTGCTCTGATGCACACAAGTGGATTCCATATTCCTTTCTGGTCATGACTGTTGGTCTCATAAAATTGATGAGGCTTCTTTGCTGTAGTATCTGGGCTGCAGCAAGTTTGAGAAGGGTAAGACTTTTCACTGATTTCTCTGTCAGATGATCAATATATATGCAGACATTACCTTTTTGAGGCCCATCACAACACCCAGAAAAGTGGCAAGATTCTATTGAGGGACTCATTTTGTTTGCATATATCAGAGTGAAGAGAGAGAGAGGTGTCTCTTTGAAGTCTAGTAGCCAACTCTCTGCAGTCTTTATCTGGTAGAATGGACACTTTGTTATCTATAGTCCAGTAGTAGGGACGTTTTTTTTAACTCTTGCAAACCCCCATTGACATATTTGAGATACTTGCAAATATTAATTTGTATACGATGTTATTCTGTGCCCTTCCAATGCACTGAATAGATTGTCTATGTATACTCTGAAAGGGATGGGACTCAAAGAGAAT